CCCCCCAACACACACAAAAAAAAAAAGAAAAAAAAGAAAATAAAAAAAGAGAAAAGAAAAAAGAGAAAGCAGAGGTAACAAAGAATGGTCTTCAATGTTCGATGATGAACTGTGCAAAGAAGCTGATCAGCTGCTGGTCGGTGGCGCAGATAGTCTGTTATACAAGTGATCAGAAATCTCATGGATGCATGTCTTGAGGGTTGATAATTCGAGTAACCTACAGTGGAAGAGGGAGCATCTGGGAGACCTTTCTTTGAGTTTTGAAATCCTGTGAGTTCGTTGCATTCAAACCAGACAGTGGCACCTGTCCTCATCATCAAGCGGAAAAATTCACACCAAAAGAAAAGTTGTCACCTCCTCACCCTTTCTTAAAGCGTATTGGTTAATTTATCACAGTGTTTTGATTCTGTCTCTCTGTGCCTTCTCTGGATAGATCACACTCCTGCCATAACTCAGGTCTCAACTGAAACTGTGACTCAGGGCAGTCGCCTTAGCATTGACGGAAAGAACTTCGGGGAGAATGTGACGGTGTACATGGACTCCGTTCAGCTCCATATGCACAATTTGACGGCTGAATTTGTTGAGTGTGAGATCCCACACCTTCCTGTGGGGCGCTATGAGCTACGAATGGAAGTGCACAGTCCCAACTTTGGGAACTCAGTTTCAGTAGGAGGCGTTCCAACTTTTATTTTCTACGTTGGCTCCGTCTTGAGCATGTCACCTGCAATCTCATCCAGGGAGGGTGGGCTTGAGATCACAATCCAAGGTTCAGGATTTGACGACATTCACCCTGACAGGAGCGAAATAGCATTTGGCAGCAGCAGCTGTTCTGTGATATCGGTGGAGAAGTCTGTGGTGGAGGATGGGAATGACACCTTGAAGTGCATTGTCTCACTCCCTTTTGGACTCCTGGGAACGTATTATTCACTTGGTAGCCAGCCATGGCAGATTCCATCATTCGATGCCCTGGTACCAACAGCAACACGCTATGAACCGGATCTCTTCTTTCCTGATGCGGATTTCCGAGGACTGTGGAACATAATGTCTGACACTTATTTTGCAGCAGAATACAGGGGTTCCATATTTATGCAGCATGAAGGAATGTATCAGGTGTGTGTTTGTGAACCACCAGAGAACTGGGCTGTCACAAATGGGATGTGCCATCAGTGCCCATTGTCCTTCTGGTTTTCCTCCTTTTCCTCCGTTTCCTTTTGTTTTTTATGACGTTCCTTTTGTTTTTCATGAAAAGGAAAGAATCTTTATGTTTTCTAGCTTTTCAGTTGTGGGAACATTGGACAGCCTCTAATGTTGTTGTTTTTAACCGTGCCAATGTTCCGGCTGATGACTTCTGCAAATTCCATGGTAACCGTCCGGACATCCGGACCGGGTTCCAGACAGTCCGGAACAACATGTCCGGTGTCCGGTCCTTATGTCCGGATAGAGGCCCCCGGGGCAAAAATCGGAAAAAAGAACGGGGCGGCCCAGGACGTTTGTCGGGTCCTGGCTGCCTCGAAAAATAATGGGCTGATTTTTCAGTGTCGTTTCACCCCACCAGACAGGGCCTAGAGGTCTGGACACAAGACACTGCAGGTTTTGGGGGTGGCGGGTTTCACACAGGCCCGAGCAATTTCAAAGC